CTTGATGTATAATTTACTTATAAGTATAATGAATATATAAAAAGAAACATTAGATCACTCGAAACATTTCTTTCGCCTCCTCAACTCTCGCAACTCTCTGAGCAACTCTCGCTCTCTGAACACTTGTCGATTTGATGGCTCAAGCGTTGGCCGGCAGACGCTTTTATTTGTGGTCTGTGGCCTGGGCATGGTTAATGCACAATTGATTCGACGTGTCACTCACCCACACACACACACGCAAGTCAAAAAGTCTTGTGTGTATGTGCGTGCAGCAGGCGTGATAGCCAACACAATTTAATTATTTGCGTCTGGGTAAATTTATGGCAGTTTAGAGATTTCATTAATTGGAAAAGTGTTTTCTTTTTGCATTCGTTCCCATCAGAGGGCGTAGACTGATGCCCCATTCCCAGCTCCACTCAGCACACACACACACACATATGTTGTCTGTCTGTGTGTGTGTGTGTGTGTGCTGTGTCTATGTGCAATTTGTCTGAGCTGTTGGGCTAGCGCCTTTTGTTCGTATATTTGGCTTTCAGCTTGCAGCTTGCTTCGCTGCTCGTTTCGCTTGGCATTGCCAAACTTTGATTACTCGGGGATTAGCCATGTCCTTTGAGTGCCTGCCTGCCTGGCTGCCTGCGTGGCTCTGTTTGGCTGCCAGCTTGCTTTGTGGTTTGCATAAATTTTACTTAAAATACTTTTTAAAAACTTTAGCGACACTCGCACACATTGCCATCGCTGGCGCAATCAGTCCCCACCCACCGCCCCCCGCCCCAGCTGTGACCTTTGCTTATGGGATTTAGCCAGGACATGTACAACTTTGTGCTTTTTGCGTCCTTTTGTTCACTGTCGTCGCTGTCGCCGACGCTGTCGACGTCGCTGTCGACGTCCTTTGTGCGCTTGGCGCATTAACGCAATTTGTCTCGACATTCGCACAATTAACTCATCCACTCGAGTGCCGCTAAGCTGTTGGCAAAGTTTGCGGCTAATCCGGGCCACGTATGGACCGCAGCGACCTTCTGGCTGCAATTTCCTTCTTTCTACTAGCATATGACGCATACGCAGCGTTTGCCGTCTCTCTCTCTCTCTCTGTTTCTCCCTTTGGTAACTAAATGCTCAGCGCAATTATTTAACAACTTGGCCAATTCGGGCCCAGGACCCCGCCACACACTCCCCTTCATTTTTTGGAGACAAGATACGACAGAAAGTTTTCTAATCGATGCGCACGCAGGTCGAAAGTTTCTGCCAGCCAGCGCAACGGTCGAAGTTTCTTTTCAAAGTCACTGCAAATAAATAAATTTTCGACGCTCTCCCGGCACTCCCGACGGCTTTGATAAGCGCGTGCCAGGCGAACGGTGCCTTGCCAGCAGCACGGCACAGCCTTTTCACAGCTCCGAGAGAGCCCAGCAGAACAATAAATCAAAGCCAAGCGGCAGGCGCTTCGGTTATGGAGGCTCCCCTTGCTTATCTCTGCAAGTGACTGCGGCAAAGGTCTTCATACTCGCCGCTTGAGCTGTCTGTATATGCAGCGCAGTTGTCCTGAAGTTCCTTCGTGTCAAGGATATTGCAGTGGCGTACATTGAAATATGCTCGAGTTAATTCGATTACTTAGAACTTGTCGTTCGTTATCTGAATGAAATTGATCAAATTACAGATTGAGCAATGCAAAAGGCGAGAACCTACAGTGTTTACTGGCTAAATGCTACAGCTGTAAGCAGTAATAGAGTTCTGTGATTTACTTTTAGCCACGAGATTGATCAAATAGATATGCGAATGAGCAAGATTTTATATATTTTATATATTAAATGAATATTTGTTATACATTTATAATTTAAGCTAATTTGCTTCGTTGTGTGCACAGTGTATTGGCTCGTTATTCATGGTTATCAATATTTTTGAAAAGTCAAGTGCAATTCTATTCCAACTGTGAATGACATTTGACCACTTCTCATTCAATACTAAGCTGCTGTCAAATCCGTCGTGAGCTGCAGCAGCAGCAGCACACATACACACACCTACACACACACTACAGCCATCTGCTGCAGCTCTTCGCTGCTTTTGGAAGCTAGATGAGTGCTTCATATGGCTGTTTGGCTCCCAACATACTCTAATGCTGACCATACGCTTCTGCTGGTGATGTTGGTGGTGCTGATGCTGCTGCTGCTGCTGCTCCTGCTCCTGCTCCTGCTGCCCTCAACTGTCCCTCAATTTATCATAGCCAAACGCAAAATCCACTTTAGCAGCAACAACAACGGCAATCACTAGACAGCGCTTGATGCTTAACGGACATCGTTGGCTGCGTGTGACACTTTGCAAAGCCAAAATATGTAGAACATGCCACAGAGAGCAGCAGCCACTCACACACAGGCACAACGAAGCACACAGAGACATACAGACTGGCAGACAGACAGAGAGTCAGTCATACAGAGACTGTTAGAGTATATAGTATATGAACTATGGAAATTTCCAATTAGGTTTTAATGCGTACAAGTGCTTTTTATTCAGTGCTATTTCTCACTGAACTCACACAACAGCCAGAGATGTTCTCCTTTTGGTCACATTCAGCTCACGTGCTGTTTGGCTCCCTCCCTGCGCTCACAGTGAGTGAGAGAGAGAGAGAGACATCTCTCTCTCTGTCTGTTTTTTTTCCTTTTCATATTTCACAGCTGCTGTTGCTGTTGCTGTTGCTCTGCGTATATTTTTGCCAGTCATAAATTTCAATCACGTTGTCAGGATAACACCAAGTGGATATACTCATATGTCTCACGGCTGCTACAGTGCGTCTCTCTGCATATGTTGCCGCAGCCCGCTTGGGGGAGGCAGCAGGCAGGAGGCAGAAGGCAGGAGGCGGAAGGCCAATGGACCAGCAGCCACCCTCCCAGCTTATGCTCCTTGTTGCTGTGCGGTTTCTGGGCGTGCCAAAGCAGAACGACAAACTCTCACCTACCACAATGACCCCCCTCTCCCCTCCCACCAGCCCACACCCTAAGCCAACCACCCACCCATGCAGCGTACCCATGGCCGTGTTTGAGGCCACAGACGGTTCTGTTTTTCGGCCATTGGCACACACAGACGGCGCTGGGCAACCGAGCTATGGCAATACCAATTCGAATGCTAACGGGCCATGCCATGCCGCAGCTGAGCAGAGCAGACCACACCTCGGCATATCGATTGTCGCTACATATCAATTGATTTCCTCTTCGTTTTCAATTTGGCCAGAGTCAGCCATACTCCTGCTGCTGTTGCTGCTCCTCCTGCTGCTGCTGCTGCTGCTGCTCCTCCTGCTGCTGCTGCTGCCTGTTTTCAGCTACATGCTGAGCATTTTGTTTATGTGACTTGGCCAGTTGTTTGCGCCGCTCGGTTGCTTTGAATTGGGTTTTGTGCCTTTTGTTGTTTGGACTTTCATTTGTGACTTTGCGTGACTTCGAGCTTACCTGGACAACAACAGAACACGCCTTGATTACCATTTAAATGCCGAACTAATAGGACAATAAACCATTCCCATTCACAGCAGACAGCAAACAGCAGACAGCAACAACAACACAACAACAACTGAAATTATAACAGCAGCAAATTATTAATTAGTGAAACGAAATTAATGCGCAACTGTCGTCATTATTTGTGTCGTCGTCCCATCCACGCGAGCTTCGGGTTCACCCACACACGACGCGACACTGGATGCCGCATTTGTTGACAAATTTATTTATTCGCCTTGCTGCCAGACAACCCTCACCTCTGCCCCCGCCGCCCCCACCACTCCATAGTTGGTGCCGTATTCTCCCCCCGGCCAGCCCGTGGCGCTGTGTTTTATTTTACGCATTTGCGGCTTCAGCTTCTCATCGGAATGCTGCGCCGTGATGAGAAAAAAAGAAGGAAAGAAAGAAATGCTATTAAAAATAACACAGTCGACGAGGCAGCCAGATTGCCGAACAGGCCGCTGAAAAATGCAGCCAAATGAGAAAATGGAATTAATTTATTGACAGCAATAAACTAAATGAATTACCACCGAAAAATTGCATGAATTTTATTTAAATCTTCTGTCGCATGTGCCGCATATTTATTTATTTATTTATTTTTTTTTTTTTTTTTTTTTTTTTTTTTTTTTTTTTGATTTCAAGTGTCAATTTTTGATGAGCCACTGCGTCAGTCAGGTGCGAACTCAATTAAAATTTCAATAACGTGCAACAAGCAAAGGGACGCACGTTGCACATGGCCAACACACCAATAATTTATAGATGGGAGTTGCTCTACTCGCAGATGTTCTCTAATTGGATTTGATCTAAATCATGTTTTGATGCGGCTTCGATTTTCATTGCAAATTTCAAATCAGAAATTATTAAAGCCAACATTTGGACAAATATGTGAATTCAAAGAAAAC